TTTTAAAATGTCAAATTGATATTTTTTCCAGTTCAACCACCAACAGCAGCCACATCAGCAATGCAAACAACTTACTATCCATCAACTGGATCCACTACCCCACCCACAGGTAATATATCAATTATGTTTATCATTTATTTAGAAGTAGATATAAGACTTGGCATGGTAAGAAACAAATGCAATTTTAGGGATAGAATGCACACCATTTCTACATTATATACACATTATTTACGTATGTATTATAAACTATTATGCAACAAGATAATTTTTTAAAGCATAAGATCAGAGGTGTCTGTAAGGTTTTTTAGACCTTTCATTATTTTGTTACCAGAAAAAGAGAAAACAACAACATGGTACATTTATAAAATGTTTACTATTTAGAAAATAAATTCAAGTTTGTATTTATGTTTTGGGAAATTATGGCCACTCGAGAAAAACAACGTGGATAACCAACGTGGTTTTAGTTTGGGAAAAAACGTATGCCGACCGGAAGGAGGCTAGAACGAAAATGTTAGTCATATTAATTGACCAACAGATTGCCAAACATTAACCGAATACTAGTCACTTATGTTTACCAGTGTCTTATTGATATACCAACACAAACTAATTGACAAAGACCGACACCTTCCATTATCGTACGGATAACCATATAATAATATCGGGTACCGGCAAAGCCACGGAGCCAAAATAATAGTACATCAACACGGACCAGCTGACAACCACCGATACCTTCCATTATCCTACCGATAACCGTAAAATAATGAAAACTACCAGAAGCATCACGGAGCCTGAAGTACGAATACCGATTACAAACACACAGATATTACCAAAGCACTAGAGCAATATCTGGTTACCTGACACAAAACACTTGTGTCACACATTATACCGACACATACACTGTGTCACACTTTATACCGACACATACACTGTGTCATACTTTATCCGACACATACACTGTGTCACACTTAATACCGACACATACACTGACCTACTTTACCAGACACAAACAATTTAGAAGTTTAAACGCCAAAGATATAAATTTATAATATTAACGCTGATTAAATACACGGTAATAGTTAAGACCGTAGACAAGATTGTTAACCAGACGGCCGCCTCCCGATCGACATAATTTTTTTCCCAGGCATAATATGAGTGACATTGTATACTTGATTCTAAGGAGTACAAACAAATAACACATGTATAGAATCAAAGCAACTTCATAACATCTTCACGATTTAAAATTAATGTAAAATGTTCACTATACTTCCGGCACTAAACAACTTCCATGTCACTATTAGAGTCTCTCAGCTCTACACAAAAACACATGTAACCCGCGATTAAATGAAACATATTAGGAGAAAACAATACACAGATACAGTTACAGTCTAAACATTGACGATCCCTGAAGTTTGGTCTTCTCCCTTATTGCAAAGTATGGTTTTCCGTCGAGAGGTACATTGTGTAGATTACTTTACATTGACTGATCGTGCAGAAGGATCGCCTTGTCAGAGTGTCAGTGCCATGGAAGTATCTGTAATATAAGAACTGCCAGAAAACAGTTAAATTGTTCACCAACCATTCTTACAAATGATTTTATCTTGGAAAGATAATTTGACTATTTATCAGTAATTCAAACTTTGAAAAATCATATGTACTAATGCGTATTATAGCATAAAATCGGCTATTTTCCCCTATTTTGCCCATGTTATAACGGGACCAAAACCATGTGTTAACATAGTCACGCGCTCTTGTTATAGCCCGGTTTCACCTATGCGCAATACATACAGGGCCCAGTAAACAAACAAACAAAAAATGACGATTTGGCCTGTTTGCCGAAGAGTCATGCGCTCTTGTTATATTGAAATTTATTGATTCGAGGGCCTCAGTCGCATATTCAAGTAACTATGCCGGAAAAACGGCGTATAGACATCGGTGCTAATCTTGGTTGTCGCCCTTTCTAAGAAACGGACAGTTGTCAATGTAAACAAATACAGTAGAATCTACCTGTCATTCAGTTTAACACTCCGATAAACTTACAAAACTAGATAACACAAAATTAATGAGAAAATGTTTTTTTATTTATGTTAATGTTGATAAATGCTCTTTATATTTCTTTGATAGAATAATGCTTAGTGCCTGATTTTTTTATAAACTTGTTTGCTTGAAAAAAAAACCGATTCTGATGTCACTGATCTTTTTTCTACCGTCAATCTGAAATCATTCTAAGAATTTCTGAGGGTCATGTTTTGTCTTGGGTAGAGGGTAGAGTAATGTAACGTTTTTTTTTTCTTGAGATAATAAATCTCCAAAGGCCAAGCTTTGTTAAATTAATTAAAATTCAAAATTTCGTTCGGTTCCGAGAATTTTCCAAGTTGTTGGCCCCGGAAAAATGAAACGCATACGTAAAACATAGAATTGGATAAATACCGTCCAAGCACAAGACTTTAATGTAATTGTGTTTTGTATAAACTATACATCACGAATCTGTTTGAAAATTTTATGCTATAATAGCGTCAACGCACGTTTATTTCGTGTTATAAAGTCTGCAGAGTCCCTCAGAACTGTTGGAGCCCTCGCCCTACCGGGCTCGGGCACCAACCGTTCCTCGGGACTCTGCAGACGTTATAACACGGAAAAACGTGCGTTAACCCTATAAAAACCTTTTAGCACAAACTTATAAAATAAACCAATTTCATTATTTATACTGACAGTACAAAAAGTACAACAAATTTATAAATCACAACATATTTATAAATCATAATAACATTGGGGTGTGGCGGGTGGGAAGAGTTAATTTGAAGTGTACTCGGACAGCGAGTTGTAAACTGAGAGACCGATGCACGAGTTTCACGTGCTTATATAGTTGTTGAGAGCGATATTGGTTCCGTTTACTACCTAACTAATATATACACCGAAATGGAACCAGTGATTTGTAAACAAAAATCTCGTTCGAAGAGATTGAAATAATTTCTTGAAAAAATAAAGGAAATTTTTTTTAGGGAAAAATAATTTATATTATTTTGTTACCAGAAAAAGAGAAAACAACAACATGGTACATTTATAAAATGTTTACTATTAAGAAAATAAATTCAAGTTTGTATTTATGTTTTGGGAAATTATGGCCACTCGAGAAAAACAACGTGGATAACCAACGTGGTTTTAGTTTGGGAAAAAACGTATGCCGACCGGAAGGAGGCTAGAACGAAAATGTTAGTCATATTAATTGACCAACAGATTGCCAAACATTAACAGAATACTAGTCACTTATGTTTACCAGTGTCTTATTGATATACCAATACGAACTAATTGACAAAGACCGACACCTTCCATTATCGTACGGATAACCATATAATAATATCGGGTACCGGCAAAGCCACGGAGCCAAAATAATAGTACATCAACACGGACCAGCTGACAACCACTGATACCTTCCATTATCCTACCGATAACCGTAAAATAATGAAAACTACCAGAAGCATAACGGAGCCTGAAGTACGAATACCGATTACAAACACACAGATATTACCAAAGCACTAGAGCAATATCTGGTTACCTGACACAAAACACTTGTGTCACACATTATACCGACACATACACTGTGTCACACTTTATACCGACACATACACTGTGTCATACTTTATCCGACACATACACTGTGTCACACTTAATACCGACACATACACTGACCTACTTTACCAGACACAAACAATTTAGAAGTTTAAACGCCAAAGATATAAATTTATAATATTAACGCTGATTAAATACACGGTAATAGTTAAGACCGTAGACAAGATTGTTAACCAGACGGCCGCCTCCCGATCGACATAATTTTTTTCCCGCCACAGTAAATTTTGACACAAAAAATTTATCCTCCAAAAAAAATAGCGATGAACACTTAATTTAATAAATTTTCAACAATTGCATCTTTCAAATAGTCTAAATAAAACTCCAAGCCCACAATGTTTAAATGGATACCATCAGGGCGGAAGAAACAGGCGTCATTAATCTCAGTGGTAATAATCGCCCCCTTCCCAGACTCCATGACAATTCTTCGACCTAATCTATTTAAACGCTTTCTCTTTAAGTTTAAGGGCTTGTTTTCATTTTCCGGCCAAGTTCGTGGGAGGATATCCATCCACACAAGAAGGGTGTCAGGAAAGGCATCACGTAAATAGTCGATTTCCTGTTTTATGAGATTTCTAATGTCGGGTGTTTTAAACGATTGCAAGTCGTTTCCCCCCAAGTTAATAATTACCATTTTAGGTGGCTGAGAAAATAGAACCTGCAATTCAATGTGACTCCTCAATCCCGACCAACCAAGGCCTCTTTTTCCCCACCATGCAATGGACACACCGTCGATCTTTAAATTGCTCTTGAAAGTGTCAGATGCGTGAACCCCGGCCCAATACGGCAACGAATCGCCTAACACCCAGACATCTGAATAAAATAAAATCAGGTTGAAACTTAACGTACATACAGCTTAAAAGAGTAAGAGGACCATCGACTAATTTCATAATGGCATCTGATGGATAACCAGCGATAGCCAGATCAGTCGCCCGACCAATCCTAAAACTGTGTGTCCGGAAATGGCCGGCTCTATAACAGGTCTTATCAATAGCTAGCGATAGGACACGAGAAAATTGTGACCTCAAAATTGGTGCTCCGTCTTTATGACAAAACAGAATTGAAAAACCTTTTGATCTGATCTTTAAATATTCTAGTATCTCAGAGACAGGACATAATCCATTCATATTCCTAGGCAGCTTAATGATAGCTGGATTACCATATTGGCTTGTTTTATAATGGCGAAGACATATAACGATATACTGTTCATTCTCTTCAAAGTGTACATCGTTAAGCAAAATTGCATGGCCAAGATGACAAATACTTGAAGCTGTAAGTTTACTGACACGAAAAAGGCCAAAATAAGCAAGCGTGAACAGTGCTCGAAATAATGTGGTTTCATAATTATCATAACAAACGGAGTGTAAATTAAGGCATATTTCCTCTAATACATGTATTGTAAGAGGTGCCCGTAAATCTTGCGTAGGTCTACTTCTGCGACAGCCCTCTAATAATTTGTTAACCATAAAGACTTGATTAAAACTCTTAAAACCGAGGATTTTATGAACGTATTTAATTCCTGCCAAATATGTAGTGATTGATTTAGGGGATAACCCCTTCTCAAAGCAAAATGATAAATATAAAATCATATGATCGACCGGAATTGGCCAATCAGAAGTTAAATTATATTCGTGCCTAAATTTTTCGAATGATCTCATGGCATTATTATATACGATCATCGAATTTGGAGCTACTGCTGAACTAAGCAACTGTCTAGCTCTTCCCTGAAGACGCTCCATAGAAAATGTGGTACTAGACTGGGCTCGGGGTCTGCTTCCGGGGCGAGTGATCGGAATCGGGATAGCTGTAAACGAGACAAAGAGTCACAAATAGCGTTTTGATGACCAGGCACGTGAATTGACCTTATCCAGATATTTAGTTTAAGGCAACGTAGTGTTATTAAACGTACCAGTCTCATTACTCTACAAGACTTTGAAGACAATTTATTTAATATATGAACAACTGCTATATTATCACAGTGAAATTGAATCTTCTTATTCAACAGCTGATCTCCCCAAATATATAATGCTACCAAAATCGGAAAATAATTCAAGAACAGTAATATCTGAAGTAATGCCGGATTCGTGCCATTCAAGGGGCCATTTCGCATAACACCAGTGACCGCAAAAATATACACCAAATCCTAAATTTGGTCCCCCTGCGCTATCTGTGAAAAGTTGAACATCAACATTCGATACCCAGTACTTGTCATGAAATAAGGATAAACCATTAAAATCTTGAAGAAACGATAACCACATATTTAAATCCAATCTTATCTCTTTTTTAAGCCTTATGCGGTGAAATGGTTTAGTAAGCCCGCATATAGAATCAATTAATCTACGTGAAAAAGGTCTGCCCATTGGTATAGCCCGACAACAAAAATTAAGTACACCAATTAATGACTGCATTTTTTTCAACGTTGTTTTTTTATGAGATAATATCTCTTCAATTTTTAAGACAACTTCCTGGATTTTTACTCCCGGAACCTTAACCGTCATATTATTTGAATCGAGTTCGAGGCCTAAAAACGTTAATACTTCTGTCGGCCCCTCTGTTTTCTCTTCCGCAAGTGGAACACCCAACTCGGACAAAGTAGTTTTAAAAATTTGAAATGCTTCTGAACAAGATTCAAAAGTAATATCGGCGCCCAGAAAATCATCTAAATAATGTATTAATCCTCCTGTTTTAAATTTACGGAAAGCACTAAACTCAAGGAAACGCGAAAATCTTTCAAAAGTTATGCAGCTTATTGATGCGCCGAAAGGCAAAGCTTTATCAAAATAAAAGTTATTATTAAAGCAGAAACCAAGTAATTCAAAGTCGGACGGTTTAATAGGGATCAATCTGTAAGCACTACGAATATCCGCTTTAAATAGTTTACAGTTCTGACCCAAATTCTGGATAAGTTTAACCGCTTCATCAAAACTAGTGTACTGTAGTGCATAGGTTAGGATCAATGTAATCATTAATTGATTCACCAGGGGGATATGATAAATGGTGAATGAGCCTATATTCACCCGGTGTCTTTTTTGGGACAAGCCCCAATAGGGGAGACTATTAGTTTTGGCAATGGCCGATGTACAAACGGACCAGCTACCCTACCCAATTCAATTTCTTTATTAATTTTTGATTGTATAAGTTCGGGGTTTAAATCTGTCGAGCGCAAATTTTTGGCATTTCGTGGTGCACGTGGACCGTTATAATATATTGAATGGGAAAACCGTGCAAAAATCCTTGTAATAAAAAATACACCTTCGGTTTTGTCATAATATCTTAAATATCGTCTTAAAACCCTAACATTAATTGGTGATGGAGCTAATCTATAAATATCCTGATTATGAGATATTGTATTTCCACGAATGTTTGACACATTAATTTTTTCTTTGCTGATTGAATGATCCTTTAGGTCTACGAAAGGATTTATTATTATAGTTAGACTGTGTATTCGAAGACTGTGTATTCGACTGTGGACCGGACCACGTGCATTTGATTTCCGGATGAGGACCGTGACATTTTGAGCACGTGTGTGAGAACTTACAATCCGGCCACGTGCATGAACCTGAATTGAAAGGGTTACATGTATATCTCCTCACGTTCGATGGGTTTTTGTTAACAGGCTTCAATTGCATACAGCGCCACCACAGATCGTTATTTATCTTTGACCAGGGGGCTGGTGTTATAGCTTGCCGGAGACGAAATTGCTCGTCGTATTCTCGCCAGCAATACGACCCTTGTCTTGCAGCGGCCTCTCTAATGTTATACATATAGTGTATTAGCTCATAGCTTTTGTCAGCGTGATTTGACAAATACACAGACGCATATATCAAAAATGCATTAGTCCATTTTTCAATGTCGAAAATCTTTTCTTTGCAATCTCTTCGACATGCTTCAATTTCCCCATTTAAACTTAATTTAAAAATTGAACCATCACAATATTGGGAGAGTTTCCACAGTTCCTTTTAACATCAATGCTAAATTAACATATTCTCCCCTACAAATTTGTTGTTTGATAGAAGATGGTAAGTGCGCCGCAATATCGTCGTCTGCTAAACGAGTAACGGGCATTGGGACGCATGCAGAGTTATCGCGCATGGCATAACTTTGAAAGAAATCACGTTGTGGAGGGTTGCCACGTGTAACTAAAGGAGAACTATTATTATTGACTGAACCACTGCCACACCCCATACTTAAATCATTTGAACCTGAATTATTATTAATACTAACGTTACTATTCGGTAACAATTGACTAGCTCTCATAATTTGTTCAAAGTCTATGAAATTGGACGAACCTGCGTTGGACTGTAAAGACGTGTCTTCTGCTAGGGAGTCACCGTCCTCCTCTGCCTGCCTTTTCCGACCCCTGGTCTGTACATTATTAGGCTGGTTTGCAGTATTTACTGGCCTTGAAGCCCTAACTGGTCTTCCTCTACCACGTGGCATTCCAAACAACGAGATTTCCGATGTAAAATCCGAAGAGTTAATTTGAAGTGTTACTCGGACAGCGAGTTGTAAACTGAGAGACCGATGCACGAGTTTCACGTGCTTATATAGTTGTTGAGAGCGATATTGGTTCCGTTTACTACCTAACTAATATATACACCGAAATGGAACCAGTGATTTGTAAACAAAAATCTCGTTCGAAGAGATTGAAATAATTTCTTGAAAAAATAAAGGAAATTATTTTAAGGGAAAAATAATTTATATTATTTAATACATGTATATACTGTTTGTACTAAAAAGAGTCAGATTGAAAGGTAAATTTTCTTACAGTGCCCCCATCTAGACTGGACTGTACATTTGAGAGAGATTTCTGTCAGTGGGCACAATCTAAAGATGATAAATTTGACTGGACAAGGGCCACTGGTCCTACTTCATCAGGACAGACAGGACCTTCAGTAGATCACACACTTGGAACAGGTTTGTAACTGTTATATAATTATAATGATATATATTTATCATAATTTTGTCCTGAAATTTAAATTAAGGGGTCGGTGCCAGTATTTTCTTTTAATTGATAATTGTTTATAGCAGCAATCTGCCAGAAAACTCCTGGGCATTTTCCTGGCTAAAGGGGAAATGAGCCTTTCATCCAGATTGCAAGTTAGTTGACTATAATGACAGATAAAATCAAAACTATAATGTGTATCTTTATGCATTAAAGTTTTACATACTAAGTGAGTGTTCATCAGCATTAGTAAGCTTTAGAATGAATGTTTAGTTAATTATTAAATTTGAATTATTTATATAATTTAAATGATTGAAATCAATGTAAGTGTTGAAATTTTTCACCATCTTTTTTCTACTTCAGCTCAAGGTCATTATGCTTTCATTGAGACATCAAGTCCAAGACGACTTAATGATACTGCTAGACTTAACAGTCCATTAATTCCTCCACGTGCCAACGCTCAATGCCTGAGATTCTGGTACCACATGTATGGACCCGATGTCAACACACTAAATGTATATGCCAAATTTGGGAGACAGATTGGAACTCCAGTCTGGAGCCATACTGGAACTATTAACAATCAGTGGCATTTCCAAACTGTTGATATAACAAGCACACAAGGAGCTTCCTTCCAGGTAAAGTGGGAATTAAGTTAGTATTAAGTTAGTATTTTTATTAAGAAGCTTTAATAATAGATATAGAAATTATCATGACATATAAAGTTACAATTACATTTGTACAGATAAAAAACAACAACATGTAAATGATAGGAAGAAAATGGAGCATATGACCAACAAGTGATTTTTCACCTTATGTAATAGAGGCCTGTTAAAGGCTTCTTCCCAAAAGAAATTTTCTTAATACAGTTTTCCCAAAGGTTTGAAATTGATCAATTCACTTTGCTTCCCAAACTAGCAATTTTAGCAATAAATCTTCCCAAAATCAAGAAGCTAAGCCCTCTTCCCAATTAAATGAGAAAAAACCACAGCCACCATCTGCTTACTTTTCTATTTTGAACTTATCATTAATAAAGAAAAGAATATGGAATCATACAAAGAAAATTTTATAATTACAGATAGTGTTTGAGGGAGTAAGAGGGACAAGTTACCGTGGTGATATAGCCATTGATGACATTTCATTCTCCACTCAACCATGTCAACAAGCACGTAAGTATACATTTGTATATATACAGGTAGTTTATTAATGTTCCTTCCATGCTTACCCATTTCCCTGTTTGTCTAGTAATAGGTTGCAACATCCATAAGAACAATTTAAGATGATTTGAAGGTTGTTCTGTGTGGATATTATTTTCATTTAACTTCATTTACATTTCACATAGTTTCACTAAGTGTTTGAGTCCTCAAGAATACATCAAGGACTCAATAAAAAAAAAGAAAAAAACATTCTGTGTCTATCTTTGTCTTTATAAAAATAAACTACAGTATATATATTATACCTTCATATGTACACTGTTTAGGCCACTCTTAAAAAATTATCTGTTTGCTATTGCCGGCCGACCCACCGAAAATGCCCCGACTCAAAAGTTTTTTTCAGCTTAAAAAAATCAGATTTTTTTTTATTTCCGCCAAATCAGCCAGGGCATTCGACCTAAAAAATTCCCTCGAAAACAATAATAAAATCGGAGGAAAATCACACATTTAATATGTAAAGTAATTAGTGATAATTCATGAGGGCATTCTGTGCATTACTATTTAAAGTATTTACATAAATAGCGACCAACCAGGGAAGGATATTTTCCTTACGTCACGCAGTACTGCATGCGCGCGGCAATTAAGTTGAATTAACTAATAATAGAACGTATCAAAATGGGATTAAAAATAATGTTTGTTCAATTAATGAATATTTGTAAAGCATTTATATGGTCACTAGTTTACCATGTGGTAATTTTAATGTGCTTTGGAGTACATGTTCGTTTGTTGATGACTGCCGACACAGATTAAATACTTAGCCCATGCAATGAAACATTTCTGGTAGCAGCGGGGATTCTGTCATAAAATTGACCGAAAAAATAAATTTTTGGAAGCTGTGGTCCTTTCATATGCATTGTTGCTTTGATAGCAGACACAAGTATTGCACAATATCTTCAAGATCGTAAAAATGTAAATAAAATATCACAATCAAAATCACAAATATACATACGTCTAATTAAACTCCATGTCAAAATGAACTTCCGATTAATAATATGTCAATAATATTGACACAATAAATATCCAACATTTTTTTTACTTGAGCAATAATTAAACATGTGTAATCATTCCTTGACAAAAAGAAATGGCAGTTTTTTTCTGATATATAAAAATGAGGTGGAAGTCAATTTCGGCCCTTCTTTGATGATTCGGCAACAACTACAGGTGTGTAAACATCAAAGATTCTTCAGAAGAGCCGACCAGTCATTTGTCAGAGGTCATTTCGTGTGTAAATTTTGTATTTATTATTTAACAATGGAAACATTACATTCCTTTTATTTATGGATGCTACTTTTTGCGCGAGTGTTTTTGTGTCTTTTAGCGCTATGGAATTTCAACAATCGGCGATAATTTTCGGTAACTAACAATGAAATATTTTAACATTTTTAAAACAGGGGTGCAAATATCCGCCATTCAGACAAATCTTGCGTGTGTTATTTTTTACAGACGTGTAATAAATTGAGTAATGATCACCCGATAGAACGATATGTCCTGGTGATCCACTATAATTTTTCCAGTTCCTACGGGAATATTTACACAGGAGAAGTTTATCACATCGGTAATTTGACCATGCTTGAATTTATGTCCACATAGTCATTTTTTTATTTCATGTTATGATTACTAGTGAACATGTTTTTTTATTGTTTTTGACTGTCTTTTACATGTCAGTTTTGCCGTCGCCGATGATGATAGTGTAGTCCAAATTTCCACAATCTGCTACAACGTACTAAGCGTATTAACTTACGTTCAGTAAAAATCATATATCAAAAAAAAAAAAAAAAGCCTACCTACCGACCCACTCCTTATAACTCTGGGTCGGCAATAGCAAACATATATATTATTAAGGATGGCCTTATATGGGCTGAGTTATGTAAAGATTTGTCACTAATTGCTTTGACTTTGTTACACTGGACATACAATACATTCACTGGGTATAAGGCAAAGGTATTTAAGTGATTTGTTCTTATTTCAGCTGGAGCTAAGTGTGACTTTGAGCTTGGTCTATGTGGTTACACTCAGGTTAAGACTGATGTATTTGATTGGTCAAGATCTGTCGGGGGCACCTCGTCTTCTGGAACAGGACCTCGCAATGACCATACATATGGTACCAATAGAGGTAAAACTTATATTTCCTTATATTACTTCATATTTGTATTTCATGGTGAATAGTGCCATACATGCAGCATAAACAATACTGTAGTTTTACAAGAAACAGATCATAAAAGGGAAAATTATATGCTATTTGTTATTGATTTTATTTGAACAATTAAACCAAACTGCAACATTTTTAATTTTACCATTTCAAACTTTTAAGGTTTCCGTTTTATCTATTATCGTAATAAGCTGTGCCAATTTTAATGTTCATAAATAAGCTAAATTGTGTATATTTTTTTTCTTCAGGTCATTACATGTATATTGAAGCAAGTTCACCTCGTCGTAGAGGAGACACAGCACAACTTCTCTCCCCTAGTTACTCTTTATCTAGAGGAGGCTGTCTAAACTTCTGGTACAATATGAATGGTGCAAGTATGGGAACACTAAATGTAATTCTTAGACAGGGAACAAGACCACAACGAATCTGGACCAAAACTGGACACCAGGGAATTGCCTGGCAACTGGCACAAGTTACAATTCCACAAAGTTCTAACTATACATTAATGTTTGAGGGCATTGTAGGCACTGGTTACCAGAGTGATATGGCAATTGATGATATTTCTATTAATAAGTGGAGGATGTTACATTACCAGGTCAAATATAATTTAATAATATTTGATTACTTGGTATACATTTTCTTTTTTTTTCTTTTTTATTACATTTAGACTTTTTGTTCTCTAACATTAGGTTCAGAGATAGGCTAAATACTTGATGACAAAAATCTATTACTAAATTTCCCAAGTAAATTCTTATCTTTTTCTTTATCAATGATATGATTTTGAAATGAAGATTTTTTTTTTTAAAAAACTTTGTTGTTGTTTTTTTCATAGGTAATTGTTGTTGTTTTTTTCATAGGTAATTGTTGTTGTTTTTTTCATAGGTAATTGTAACTTTGACGATGGCACTATGTGTACATGGACCAATCTAAGAACAGATGATTTTGATTGGCTGATAGGAAATTGAGGGACGTCAAGCAAATATACAGGACCACAGAATGATCACACCCACAATGATAACACAGGTAGGTGTGTCATGTTTCATGCATTGGTATGTGTAAATTAGCATTTCTGTTCCGTTATCAATGAGTCATAGTATATAAAAGGAATATAGAGTTATTAATTGCAAGAACTTTATTCAATATGGTTGAATCGGTAATGTTTGTAAACATGAAGTCATACTTGTTCTACAGATACCACCAACAAGTGTAAATGTATGTAAATAAATTGTAAAGCTATCATTTTATAGTCCTTTATTATTAATTCCATTACCTACTTAAGAGACTTGCTGTCAACAAAGACTTTTTTCACATTTCTGAAAAAAAAAAATTGTTGAAAGGTATGATTATTATTATTAATTGTATATCCTTTTAGGGAAGTATATATTTATCGAGGCAAGTGCTCCTCGAGTAAAGGGAGATACAGCACGTGTTACAACCCAGCAGTTTAATCCAACAACTGGTAGTTGTATGAACTTCTGGTACCACATGTATGGTTCTGGTATTGGTCAGCTGTCAGTATGTCTGGTTACAGGCACAACAAACCAGACATTGTGGAGGCTTACCGGCGGCAGTCAAGTACAAACCTGGCAAAATGGTCAAATTGGAATTAAAAGTAGCAAACCGTACAGGGTATTTAAATAGAAATGCTTTTTTATATTTGATAATAATGCATTTAAATATATGTACATCATTTGTGGGAGGGGGTCTCATTATGTTGAAAAATATGTGCAATCATTACTGGAATAAGATTTATGTTGTTTTTATAAAAAAAAAATGACAGAACTTACTGGAACTTTAGAATGATGTTGACTGCCATTTTTAATTTGCCTTTCAAAATTTACTATTTAATGGAAGAAGCTTTATGTTGATTATTTCTTTTGACATTATAGGTTGTAATAGAAGGTGTTAGAGGAAGCTCATATCTTAGTGATTTGGCAATAGATGATATCTCATTTACAGGGTCTTCTTGTTCAAGTATGTCTGCATTTATACTTCTTTTAATGAACAAGGAATAAAATCCTTATACTTCCTTTTGTTTTTATATTAATTAACAAGGAATATGGATATTTATTATTCAGTAAGAAAAGAATAATATACAATATATTTCTTATTCTCACAGTTAACATGGTAGACATACATGTATAATGAATCCTGTTCTTATACAGTAAACACTGTGAATTATTTCTTTTCATTCTTAGATTAATTTTTACAACAATATATATATATATAGAAATGAGAGAATATATACACACATACCACCACATCGATATGCCAGTCCAATTACGGCACAGCGCCTAGCAGAACAGTCATGAAAGCATAGCCACTGCTCATCCACCATCACAAAATGATGGTTTCAGAACAGCTTTATATACAGTCACAAACTGCACTACACATTGAAACAAGCTCAACATTCTCATATATAGAGTTTGTTCTCTGTTAACATATCTCACAAATCAACGATGACATTTTATTGTCTTCTTCACTTGATTGGGACCAGAGAACTATATATCTATTTCCGAAAGTCAACTGGATCACGTAAGATCAAGTAGATCCGTAGGATACAATGAATTTAGACAGATAAAGTATATATAAAGGGAGATAATTAAATTCAATACAGTTATACTTTCCCCTGCGTGAGATCACTTAAGATACAAGTGTGCAGATAAATTGATAGAAATGAGAGAATATATACACACATACCACCACATCGATATGCCAGTCCAATTACGGCACAGCGCCTAGCAGAACAGTCATGAAAGCATAGCCACTGCTCATCCACCATCATGTTTGTAAAGATGATAGACTCTGCTTTTCAGGTTATATTCCAAGCTCTACGAGGAATCAGTTACCGGGGTGACATTGCTCTAGATGATATCAGAATGTCTTTAGGAGCTTGCAAACAAGCAGGTAAGATACTTTAATATGATTTGTATATGACTTCATATATCTGTTAAAACATTTTATTGAAGTGATTATTTTTTTTATTTATCATTAACCAACATGTTCAATTTCTAACACAGCTATGACTTGTGACTTTGAGCAGAGCTCAATTTGCAACTACGTACAGGACCAATCTGACACACCCAACTTTGACTGGACTTGGAAATCTGGTGGTACTGGCTCAGCCAGTACAGGACCACCTTCTGATCACACTACCGGAACCCGAACTGGACATTATATCTACATTGAAACATCAGCACCAAGGCAACCAAATGACACTGCTAGAATTTCTACACCAAACTACACACCACAGGTTAATAATATATACACATAACAAGGATAAAAAGTTTATAAATAAGATTTCCTTGTGAAATAAAATTCTAAGTTGTTTAAAGGATAGAATATATTATATATTACTAGTCATCGCTTGAATAGTGAAATTGACATATCTGATAAGATTTGCATACTCTTCTAAAGAAGTCTTATTATGAATTTTAAAATAAGGTTTTGTTAATGATGATGGAAGAGTGATTACAAGAAACTGCAGATTTGTACTGCATTTTAAGCTCCTTATTAAAATTTCTAATTTCATGCCATCAGGCATATCAATATTGACAGTGTTTAAGTATGCCTTTTATTACATGTACTTAAAAAAAGCTAGGACAAGCAATGGAAGATAAGCTTTGTATTATCTTTTGTCAAATATATGGTAAAAGTACTATGCTTAAAGATTGATTGGCAATTGGGTGCATCTGCCAAAGACCGCTTATCTAGTTAAAAGTTGCTTGTCATTTTATATCTTTTCCCAGAGATAAGCATTAATAACTGGATTTTAATCAGTATAATATTTCTGTTATATTTTTAGAGTTCTGCCCCTGTGTGTGTCAAGTTTTGGACACATATGTTTGGAGTTGATGTCAACACACTGAATGTATATCTTGTTAACAGTCAACAGCCCTCTAAGAGAAACCTAATATGGACACGTTCACTAAACCAGGGTAATGCATGGAGACAAGCAGCTGTCACTGCTAACCCTAGTGGTCAATACAAGGTATGCACAATTAATTATTGTATGCTTTGTATAATGAGCTTGGTCTGCTATATACGAGGGCTGTTCAAAAAGTTCGTGGACTGCGGCTCTACTGTTCACATATTTTAATTTGCGTATATGATTTTACAAGAGACATATATTAAAATATGTCCTTAATACACAGTGAAAAAATCAATACAATATGTTTACAAATAAAAATTCTATGACAGTTACAAATCACAAGGGGTGCACAATCCGGCGCACGCTGATGATGAAACAAAATGACGTTCGTGACGTCGCAATATAAATGAAACATTTTACCAGCGTCATTGCTTCTGAAAGTACTCTTTTTAGTGTTCAATATCTGCGGATCATATACCAAAACCATTTTCTGTTTGCGATGATGACCCGAGATATAAACTGGTCATCTATTCGCTCCATTCTCCGTATAAAGGTCCGAGTGCCGCATACTTTCCGCTCTTTATCAGGATTTTGAGTAATTTAGACACTAAACGGACAGTGTTATTAAGTTAATTCAATTGTTGATTGATAGTTTTCAATTTGAAACCGCCCTCGTCCGATCTTTAAACAATATGATTATCGATGTTAAGAAAATATTTTATCAACTGACAATTATTCTATGCGGTAAATCTACTGAACACCGGCTAGCATTAATTGTCAAACGGACCAGGGTAAATACATGTAATACAAATAATAACTACAATTATTTATTGTAAATACGCATATATCCTGATGAATGAAATAAAATATTATTTTAATTAAATGAAATTGTTTTGTCAGACTTGAATGCATAGACCCGATGCAGAAATTAAACATGTCGGACATCTCTGTAACTGTAATAATGCCTGAACTTCTGTAGATCTTTTGCAATTGACGTTACAAACGTCCCAACAATTTGCCGCTAAACTGTTCGTCGCCCTTTCTGTCTGTGAGCATGTATTTGCCGTATTTGAATCGCTTGCACGACCTGAAACCAAGAGACTTGCTCGACAACTCATTGTTTTTCGTTAATGTAATCACCTTATAAAAATATAAAGGTGTATACCACATTTATTGGTAAAAATTTCCGAAAGAGCGAATTTCTAGTTTTTAAACGGAGTTTATACTTCCCAACTTACCCGTCTGTCTACTGCTGCTCAAAACTTGTTTGTTCAGCTATTCAACGTCTAAACGACGCCAAAAGTCAGCTTTATGTCATTTAAATATTAATAGATGATTACTTGTATTTAACTTCATAAAACAATCATTTAATTTGTTTCAACATGTGTTTATATTTAAACATTATATGAAAATTTCGGCGTGCGCCGATGTTGCGTTGCCATGGTTATTAAAGTGCACATAACTCGTAAAGGAAATAAAAGTTAAAAATAAAAGAAAATCTTACTTTTGAAAATAAAGACACTCTTTCGATTCATATCCACTAAGGGTGTTTTCATGAACCAAGTAAAAAATGACAGCAAAAATCCACGAACTTTTTGAACATACCTCGTATTTTGATGTTTTATCCTTATTTGTAGAGGTATAAAGATAAAGCAAATTAAATTAAATAAATCTAAAATTGGGCTGTACATTATAGAATCAAGCATGTTCAGAGTAGATAGAAAATGGCATGTCCTAAGTGTGGGTCTGAAAAAGGATGGTTTGACATTTTACTTGCTTACTTTAATGTAATAAAGCATTTGAAGTTAAGCAATGTAATAATATGACTGTGAAAATTGCAATATAAAGTCATAATGCAGCAGCATTTGTTTATTTCCAGATTGTGTTTGAAGGAATTAGAGGAAAAGGTTACCATGGTGATATAGCAATAGATGATGTCTCTATCTCAAATGGGGCTTGTAGTGGACAAGGTTTGTAAAAATTGTTATAAATATTTGTAAGATATAACTATCTGTTATTTATTTGGTTCTTACTTAATTGATGCTCATTATGTTGAGAGACAGATTTTATTTTCAATCTTATTTTAAGTCACTGATATTCTTTTGAACAGACAAATTTTGAAGAAAAAAAAAATTATTATTTTTTAGCCTGATATAAAAATCATTGTGAATCTTTCTATAATGTCATAGGATCATATGTTTAATCTAGATTTTTTTTAACCAATGACTATAGGCTAATTATCTTTTTAAAAAACAAATGTATACATTTATAATTGTACAGGAGACAAATGTGACTTTGAGAAAGATACATGTTTCTAGAAGAACATTAACCAAGGGGATGATTTTGATTGGTTAAGATCTCGTGGGAAAACAGGCAGTTCATTTACTGGACCAAGTACAGATCACACACAAGGAACCAACTCTGGATACTACATGTTTATTGAAACAAGTGCCCCTAGGGTTAAAGGTGACAAGGCAAGGCTTATCAGTAAGGTTTATCCACCGTCAGGACCAAAGTGTTTCAACTTTTACTTCTACATGTATGGTGCTGACATTGGATCTCTCAATGTTTACGTTCTGACCAACGCCTCATCATCAGCTTTCTCCTCGGAAGCATTGAAATGGACAATGTCTGGAGAGAATCCAAACAATTGGGAGCAGGGATCATTCAATCTCACTTCCCAGTATACATCAAACCCATATGAGGTATTTACTTTCGAAATGTTGATGCATTAGAAATAACACTCTTAGCTATCTTAATCATTGACTTTTGTGAATTTTGAGTGGTCCATTTAAAGTTAAAGAAATTTCCACATCAAAATACAAAACATAAACTACCTACAGTATAGAACACAAATGTGCAGACAGGCCTAGCTCTATACTGGTGGCAAGGACAGTTCACTTTCTGTTCCAGCAGAATATTGGTTAAGGCTTGGTTATTTCTTATGGAAAATGTTATATTACATTATTTCTAAATAGAAAAGTACTTGTTTATAGAGTATGAGTTACAAACAAACAGTGTTCTTATGTAAAAAGACAAAACAGAGATGTTATTTATTCTATAAATTCTGGTGTATTTTTTTTTAAAACTTTCTTTATAATTTAATCAGTCTGTAATGAGAGTTTCATAAACATTGAATACATAAAGGCTGCAATAGGTTAACAAGGCAAATCTGTGTTTGTTTCAGATAATATTTGAAGGAATTAGAGGAAAAGGTTATAAAGGAGACATTGCTATTGATGATACAGCATTAGTTGATGGTGGATGTACACAATTTCCAGATAACTCTCAACCAAGTCAATGTAAGCTTACAATTATCACCCTTTCCTTCAATAACTGCACATGACCTTTTTTCTATAGTTATTTTGTTAATAAATTAATAATAAAGATTGATCGCTGAACCAAATTTAGATTTTTTTTTCCTTAAGTTAAAGGCAATTGCCAATTTTTGTGTCTAGTCTAATGGCTGTGTTATAGATAAATTTTGCAGGGAAAATATTTACATTTTAGACAAGTCTTGAAGAAAAATACATTTGTGTCTGAAGTTAAATGGTGTTAATTTTAATTTTATTTTTCTTGTAGCATCACTTGGAACAGTCACATGTAACTTTGACTCAGATTACTGTCAATGGATTCAAAGCACCACTGATCAGTTTAACTGGTCACGCATCAATGGCTCTACCTCCAGCCAAGGTACCGGTCCTCTAGGAGACCATACTAGTGCTGGTCAATCAGGGTATGGGACAGGATCATACATTTATATAGAAGCGTCTGGGCGACACACACCTGGTGACAAAGCTGATTTGATGACTCAGATCATACCTAGCACTTCTCCACAGGTAAAAAATGCATATTTACATTGTATATATATTTTTAGCTTGACTATTCGATAAGAATAAGTAGAGCTATTGTAGTCACCCGAGCGTCCGCGTCGGCGTAACCACTTATGTTAAAGTTTTTGTAATAGTTCAAATATTTTCAAAGTCCATTGACATATGGCTTTGAAACTTTGCACACTTGTTCACCATCATGACATCAACCTGTAGACAGGAGGAGGTAACTCTATCAAGCATTTTGACAGAATTATGCCCCTTTTTCGACTTAGAATTTATGTTAAAGTTTTTGTAATAGTTCAAATATTTTCAAAGTCCATTGACATATGGCTTTGAAACTTTGCACACTTGTTCACCATCATGACCCCAACCTGTAGACAGGAGGAGGTAACTCTATCAAGCATTTTGACAGAATTATGCCCCTTTTTCGACTTAGAATTTACGTTAAAGTTTTTAGCTCGACTATTCGCAGAATAATCGAGCTAATGCAGTCACCCATTTGTCGGCGTCGGCGTCGGCGTCCCTGTGGTTAAGTTTTTGTATGTAAGCTGGTATCTCCATAACTACTGAAGGGAATGGATTGAAACTTCACACACTTGTTCTCTGTGATTATCTAAGATGATTGGCACAAGTCCCATAACTCTGATTTGCTTTTTTTCATAATTATGCCCCTTTTTCGACTTAGAAATTCTTGGTTAAGTTTTTGTATGTAAGCTGGTATCTCCATAACTACCGAAGGGAATGGATTGAAACTTCACACACTTGTTCTCTGTGATTATCTAAGATGATTGGCACACGTCCCATAACTCTGATTTGCTTTTTTTTTTATAATTATGCCCCTTTTTCGACTTAGAAATTCTTGGTTAAGTTTTTGTATGTAAGCTGGTATCTCCATAACTACTGAAGGGAATGGATTGAAACTTCACACACTTGTTCTCTGTGATTATCTAAGATGATTGGCACAAGTCCCATAACTCTGATTTGCTATTTTTCATAATAATTATTATGCCCCTTTTTCGACTTAGAAATTCTTGGTTAAGTTTTTGTATGTAAGCTGTTATCTCCATAACTACTGAAGGGAATTGATTGAAACTTCACACACTTGTTCTCTGTGATTATCTAAGATGATTGCCACAAGTCCCATAACTCTGATTTGCTTTTTTTCATAATTATGCCCCTTTTTTGACTTAGAAATTCTTGGTTAAGTTTTTGTATGTAAGCTGTTATCTCCATAACTAATGAAGGGAATTGATTGAAACTTCACACACTTGTTCTCTGTGATTATCTAAGATGATTGGCACAAGTCCCATAACTCTGATTTGCTTTTTTACATAATTATGCCCCTTTTTCGACTTAGAAATTCTTGGTTAAGTTTTTGCGTGTAAGCTGGTATCTCCATAACTACTGAAGGGAATGGATTGAAACTTCACACACTTGTTCTCTGTGATTATCTAAGATAATTGCCACAAGTCCCATAACTCTGATTTGCTTTTTTTGCATAATTATGCCCCTTTTTCGACTTAGAAATTCTTGGTAAAGTTTTTGCATGTAAGCTTGTCTCTCCATAACTACTGAAGGGAATGTATTGAAACTTGAAGAGTTTGTACCTTTTCGGACAATTTTATGTATTCATATAGGTAAGCATTATTATACTCAATGAAACACCCTTGTGACAAATTTTCGAATAGTCGAGCGTTACTGTCCTCCGACAGTTCTTGTTGTAATAGTTCAAATATTTTCAAAGTCCATTGACATATGGCTTTGAAACTTTGCACACTTGTTCACCATCATGACCCCAATCTGAAGACAGGAGGAGGTAACTGTATCAAGCATTTTGACAGAATTATGCCCTTTTTTCGACTTAGAATTTACGTTAAAGTTTTTGTAATAGTTCAAATATTTTCAAAGTCCATTGACATATGGCTTTGAAACTTGGCACACTTGTTCACCATCATGACACCAACCTGTAGACAGGAGGAGGTAACTCTATCAAGCATTTTGACAGAATTATGCCCTTTTTTCGACTTAATTTACGTTAAAGTTTTTGTAAATTTAAAGTTCAAATATTTTACAGGAGTAGGTAACTGTATCAAGCATTATTTTTTACTTTCAAGCACTAGAATAGTCCAGCGTTGCTGTCCTACCGACAGCTCTTGTTTTATGCTTGTTTACCTCTTCAATATATCCTGAAGGTTATTTTACATATAAAATCAAATGGATGAATAATGTTAAATGATTTTTAGGCAAATATAAATGAATAGAAAATGGAAACATTTTGGGGCTTACCAAAATATTGTTTTACTTTTGTCATGAAGTGATTTTAAAAAAATGTAAAATGAACATAAACATAAGAGTATATGTCATTGGTTAGTGTGGGGATAAAATGTATGGATCTTTTACATAAAGATGTTGATCCTGTTAAAAGCAGAATAAAAAGTTTTCATGTTTATTTATTGAAACTTTTTTCTTACTTTAAATTCAGGGCAGATGCTTTTCCTTCTGGTATCATATGTATGGTGGATCTATAGGGAAATTAAACATCTACAGTATATCAGGGGGACAGCAGACATTACTCTGGACGAAATCTGGTACTCAAGGAAACAAATGGCAACAAGCAAGTCTTAACTACGTCAGTAAAACTGATTTTAAGATGATGATAGAAGGAACAACAACAGGTGGTTACCGTGGTGATATAGCTGTAGATGATGTATATCTAGAGTCAGTACCCTGTTCACAGTCAATTGTTATCACAAAGACAAGTAAGTTTACATTAAAACAAATAACAATCATAAAAGTGTTAAATACCATGTTAAAAAAAATCCCCACAACTGTAAAACACAGTTTTCATCCCATTTGATAGTTTAAATACCTTGCTCTGAGACATCCTGAACAGATTATTTATTTCCATATTATTTTTAGTCAGCAACTGTCATAAGAAATTGCCTTTTTGTGTTAAATGCAGCTGGTATTACAAATTGTAGATATTTGATATTTGTTTACATATAGACTTACATGATTTCTAAGTAAACATTAAATTTTGTAGTATTTCATTGATTAATCACTTTTGCATTAAGTTATGGTCTAGATATTTTTAAAACTTATCATAATTTTTAAGTACATTTTGTAAATGTTATTTGTTATGAAAGGTATAGATACTATCAATGATTCAGGGTTTTGTTTTTAATTTATCTAAAATTAATTGAGAATTCTTACAATTATTATCTATGAATTTCAGAGACCTGCACATTTGAGTCTGGACTTTGTGGTTGGACACAGGACACAACAGATAACTTTGATTGGACACTAAATGGCAACAAGACAACAAGTTCAGGAACAGGTCCAACCACTGACCACACCTTCCAAACTGGACAAGGTAAATTTCATTTATACCAAGATTTTATATCAAAGTACATTGATAACTTAGAAATATAATCTAATTTTCATTTTTTTCCCATCAAAAGTGATGCATAATGCTTTTTTTTCTTAAAGAATATGTGATATGGAAGTTTTTTGGATTAGATGAAGTTCATTAGAACTGTGAAGTGATCGTGAATGTGTCTATTTTTTGTTACATTTAAAGAAAAGAATACATTGTACTAGGTTTGCACATTCTTTGTAATAGATTTGATACTAAATATTGATATTCATGAATGTTATAATTTAAAATTTTTTTTATATAAGGTACCTTCTTTGATTACAAAACTTAACTCACTCATTGCTTAATATTAACTAGCCACAAGTAAATTTTCTATGTTGTTTTTTTGTTTCAGGACATTATTTGTATATTGAGGCATCAGCTCCAAGGAAGACGGGAGACAGGGCAAGTATAATGACACCCAGCTATCCAGCCACCAATGGAGAGTGTGTCCAGTTTTACTATCACATGTATGGTACAGATATGGGGAAACTCATCGTTCATACTATGTCTAATGGTCAGATAACTGGAGACGTCTTAACTATCTCTGGTAACCAAGGAAACAAGTGGATTCGTGGAACAGCAACAGTTCAAAGTTCAATTTCATATCAGGTAATTTATATACACCTTTTTTTTTTAAATTCATGAAAATAGATTGTGTTGTAAATGCAGTTCTATCAAACTTTGTACTGGAAATTTTATAAAGATTCACAAGCTTAATTTTCTCTAATCAATATTCATGTAATGCAATCCTGTGAGGTCTTCTCTTATTTTCCTTTTTATATGCCCGTTTGAAAAACGGGACGTATTATGGGAATGCCCCTGGCGGGCGGGCGGCGTCCAATTTTGTCCGGAGCATATCTCCTACATGTATGGAGGGATTTTAATGAAACTTCATATAAATGTTCACCACTATGAGGAGCAGTGTCGCGCACATGAACCAGGTCTCTAGGTCAAAGGTCAAGGTCACACTTAGAGCTCATTGAAAAATGCTTGTCCGGAGCAAAACTTCCACATGTATAGAGGGATTTCAATATTACTTGGCACAAATGTTCACCATTGTAAGGCGGAGTGTCGCGTGCAAGATTCAGGTCCTTGCGGCCAAGGTCAAGGTCACACATAGAGGTCAAAGTTCAGATAAAAATATGAAGATGTGTATATGGACCATTTAGTCATCATTTATTGAGGGATTGTAACACAAATGGTCATTATCAAGACTATGGCTGTGATACATATAATTTAGGTCAATATATACAAGGTCAAGGTCACTAAAGATGATGAAATATCCAGATTTTGTAAATAGAATTTAATCAAAGGGAGACAACAAAGTTATTACTTTGTTCATAAATGACTTACACAATTACTCCCCTTGATCTATTTTTCACTTTCAATTCTAAAAATAGAATTTAATCAAAGGGCATGAAATAATCCTCTTTCTTGGACTTGAGTATGTTCTAAAGAATGTAACATTTATTTACACATGTTTCATTCATTGGTCAAGATTCTTAACTGTGATAACTATGGTGTTCTGTAGACTTGGTATTTGTTCATAAAGATCATACAGTAATTACCTTATCAAATGTAAATACTTTCTCATAGAAATTTAATTATATTTTAATTTTCAAGTAAATATCAGTTCAGCTCATTCAAAGATTAAGAATTGTAATGAAATGTATTTCCCTAGAATAAAATCTTAAATCAGAATTTTTTAGTTATTAAATTACATGTACTTTTTATATGCCAGTTTAAAAAAAGATAAAAATATGAAGATGTGTATAGGGACGATTTAATCATCATTTATTGAGGGATTGTAACACAAATGGTCATTATACTGACTACAAATGTGACACATGTACTTTAGGTCAATATATGCAAGGTCAAGGTCACTAAAGATGGTGAAATATCCAGATTTTGTCTGGAGCATATCTCCTACATGTATGGAAGAATTTTTATAATACTTTATGGAAATGTTTACCACCATGATATGTATTGCTCCATGCATGATCCAGGTCAAAGGTCAAGGTCACACTTAGAGCTCATTGAAAAACGCTTGTCCGGAGCAAAACTTCTACATTCATAGGGGGTTTTCAATATAACTTGGCACAAATGTTCACGATTGTGAGGCTGAGTGTGGCATGCAAAATTCAGATCCCTGCGACCAAAGTCAAGGTTACACATAGAGGTCAAAGTTCAGATAAAAATTTGAAGATGGTTATAGGGACCATTTGGTCATCATTTATTGATGGATTGTAGCACAAATGGTAACTATCATGACTACAGGTGTTACACATTTAATTTAGGTAAATATTTGCAAGGTCAAGGTCACTGGAGATGATTAAATATCCAGATGTTGTCCGGAGCATATTTTCTACATGCATGGAGGAATTTTAATGTTACTTTTATAGAATTGTTCACCACCATGAGACGTAGTGCCCTGCACATAAACCAAGTCTCTAGGTCAAAGGTGAAGGTCACAGTTAGAGCTCATAGAAAAACACTTGTCTGGAGCAAAACTTCTACATGCATAGAGGGATTTCAATATAATTTGGCACAAATGTTCATCATTGTGAGGCTGAGTGCCGTGCATAAAATTCAGGTCCCTGCGACCAAGGTCAAGGTCACACATTCTGTGCATATCTTCCCTATTGATTTGTTTTAAGGTTCATTTAACAACACAGTGCCAAGAATAAAAACTTGCTTGCTAGATAACACTTATCCATAATGCCCCCATCTCCATCTAAAGCTTTTTCGTAAACAGGCGTATTTTGTGACTATGGCACCCTTGTTTTTACTATTAAGCACTTATAATAGTCGAGCGTTGCTGTCCTACTGACAGCTCTTGTTATTAGCTCACCTGACCACGAAGTGGTCAAGGTGAGGTATAGTGATGGGGCTATGTCCGGAGTCCTGCGTCGTCAACAATTGGGTTGTTAACAGTCTAGCAGTCACAGTTTTGATTGGATCATCATCAAACTTTGTCAGAATGTTTGTCTCAATGAAATACAGATCGAGTTTGAAGATGGGTTATCTCCGGTCAAAAACTAGGTCACAGGAGCTAAAAATAGAAAAAGCTTGTTAACGCTCTAGAGGTTGCAGTTTTCATCCAAATATTCTGGAAATTTGTCAGGAAAGTTGTTTTAATGATATCTAGGTCAAGTTCGAAGATGGGTCATCTCCGGTCAAAAACTAGGTCACAGGAGCTAAAAATAGAAAAAGCTTGTTAACACTCTAACAAATGGGTTGTTAACAGTCTAGCAGTCACAGTTTTGATTGGATCATCATCAAACTTTGTCAGAATGTTTGTCTCAATAAAATACAGATCAAGTTCGAAGATGGGTTATCTCGGGTCAAAAACTAGGTCACAGAAGCTAAAAATAGAAAAAGCTTGTTAACACTCGAGAGGCAGCAGTTTTCATCCAAATATTCTGGAAATTTGTCAGGAAGGTTGTTTTAATGATATCTAGGTCAAGTTGGAAGATGGGTCATCTCCGGTCAAAAACTAGGTCACAGGAGCTAAAAATAGAAAAAGCTTGTTTACACTCTAACAATTGGGTTGTTAACAGTCTAGCAGTCACAGTTTTGATTGGATCATCATCAAACTTTGTCAGAATGTTTGTCTCAATGAAATACAGATCGAGTTCGAAGATGGGTTATCTCGGGTTAAAAACTAGGTCACAGGAGCTAAAAATAGAAAAAGCTTGTTAACACTGTAGAGGCTGCAGTTTTCATCCAAATATTCTGGAAATTTGTCAGGAAGGTTGTTTTGATGATATCTAGGCCAAGTTCTAAGATTGGTCATCTCGGGTCAAAAACTAGGTCACAGGAGCTAAAAATAGAAAAAGCTTGTTAACACTCTAGCGCCTGCAGTTTTCATCCAAATATTCTAGAAATTTGTCAGGAGAGTTGTTTTGATGATTTCTAGATCAAGTTTGAAAATGGGTCATCTCCGGTCAAAAACTAGGTCACAGGAGCTAAAAATAGAAAAAGCTTGTTAACACTCTAGTGGCTGCAGTTTTCATCCAAATATTCTGGAAATTTGTCAAGAATGTTGTTTTGATGATATCTAAATCAAGTTCGAAGATGGGTCATGTCCGGTCAAAAACTAGGTCACAGGAGCTAAAAATAGAAAAAGCTTGTTAACACTCTAGGGGCTGCAGTTTTCATCCAAATATTTTGGAAATTTGTCAGGAAGGTTGTATTGATGATTTCTAGGTCAAGTTTGAAGATGGGTTATCTCCGGTCAAAAACTAGGTCACAGGAGCTAAAAATAGAAAAAGCTTGTTAACACTCTAGTGGCTGCAGTTTTGATTAAAATATTCTGGAAATTTGTAAGGAAGGTTGTTTTAATGATTTCTAGGTCAAGTTCAAAGATGGGTCATCTCTGGTCAAAAACTAGGTCACAGGAGCTAAAAATAGAAAAAGCTTGTTAACACTCTAATGGTTGCAGTTTTCATCCAAACATTCTGGAAATTTTTCAGAAAGGTTGTTTTGATGATTTCTAGGTCAAGTTCGAAGATGGGTCATATCAGGTCAAAAACTAGGTCATAGGAGCTAAAATTAGAAAAAGCTTGTTAACACTCTAATGGCTGCAGTTTTCATCTAAATATTCTGGAAATTTGTCAAGAAGGTTGTTTTGATGATATCTAGGTCAAGTTGGAAGATGGGTCATCTCCGGTCAAAAACTAGGTCACAGGAGCTAAAAATAGAAAAGCTTGTTAACACATTAGGGGCTGCAGTTTTCATCCAAATATTCTGGAAATTTGTCAGGAAGGTTGTTTTGATGATTTCTAGGTCAAGTTCGAAGATGGGTTATCTCGGGTCAAAAACTAGGTCACAGGAGCTAAAAATAGAAAAAGCTTGTTAACACTCTAGTGGCTGCATTATTGATTCAAATATTCTGGAAATTTGTCAGGAAGGTTGTTTTGATGATTTCTGGGTCAAGTTTGAAGATGGGTCATCTCAGGTCAAAAACTAGGTCACAGGAGCTAAAAATAGAAAAAGCTTGTTTACACTCTAGTGGCTGCAGTTTTGATTCAAATATTCTGGAAATTTGTCAAGAATGCTGTTTTGATGTTTTCTGGGTCAAGTGCTAAGATTGGTCATGTCCGGTCAAAAACTAGGTCACAGGAGCTAAAAATAGAAAAATCTTTTTAACACTTTAGTGGCTGCAGTTTTGATCCAAATTTCCTGGAAATTGGTCAGGGAGGTTGTTTTGATGATTTCTAGGTCAAGTTTGAATATGGGTCGTGTCCGGTCAAAAATTAGGTCACATTGCCCAAATATGGAAAAATCTTTATAACACACTAGAGGTCACATGTTTGACTCAGTTGTCATCAAACTTGGTCATGATGCTTGTTTGAGACATTGCTTGGATGTGGTTGTGTCAGGTGAGCGATCCAGGGCCATCATGGCCCTCTTGTATGTGTATTATGAGCAAAAACCTTAAAAAATCTTCTTTGAAAAAACCCAAATAGGTAGAGTTAAGATATTAAGCATGAAACATCTTTTAGTGAGTGTCTACAAAGTTTGTTCAAATAAAAGACCTGGGGTCAAAATTGGCCCCGCCCCGGGGGTCATTGATTTTCTTTATATGTGTATAGCAAAAACTTAAAATCTTCTTTGAAAAAACCCAAATAGCTAGAGTTTATATATTAAGCATGAAA